TCACATCCAAAGCATAGCAACACTCTGCTGCAATTCCTATGGAAGCAGATTTTGCTTAGTGTTTTGTTGTTATTGTTTATTGGTTTCTGTAAATGTGACCCCTCATATGAATTCTTTTGGATCCTTTCTCCAATGAAATTCTCTGATGAATTTCTTCAAACGTAGTCCCTATCTTTCTCTCCAATTATTCTCTCTCTCTCTCTTTCTGTCTCTCTCTCTCTCTCTCTCTCTCTCTCTCTCTCTCCTCACAATATCACAGCTGCCCCTTTGAGTTTCACAGACAGAAGTAGTAGTCAAAACTGCGTCCCGTAAAGGACAGCCTGTGTTAAAATCCTGCTTGTTTCACCTACTGGCTGTTGCCTACTGGACGAATTAACATATTTGTCCCTCAGTTTCATCCTCCATAAGATGAGGGTAATTATACTTCCCCGCCCCGTAGAGTATTTTATTAGCTAATCCCTACATACGATGCTTGGAATTTCTAGCCCATAGTAAGAATTCATTAAATATTAGCCATTATTTTTATCATTTGTTCATTAAATTCTTCCTAAGACAGTATCATTCATTTTTCTAGGTCATTTTTCATTCTGCGTTGTGATTTCCTGAGCAGCCATGGGATGTGGATTCAGGTCTTTGTCTCTGATTCTTCCCATGATGCTCTGGGTATGAGCTGGATTTTTTCACTCAAAATGGACATAATGAAACCACTTTAATCTGAAAAGATTTTGTTTCAGTATTAATATTAGACTGTATCTTGTATATATAGTAAATTCACATTTTGTGTAGATAAATGGAATGTTCTGGATAATGACACTATTTTTGTTTGAAGACAGAAAATATTTAAGAATAATGAGAGGCCAATAAAATACACTTAACTTTCATCACATAAAGGAAAATAATATTGTAGAAATAACAATATGGTATTGACCTCAGCTGTTGGTACTGAGTTTAAGCTCAACTCTCCCACTAATTAATTTCATCAAAGTTACTTTCTTACCTTCTCTGGGTTTTAGTTATTGTTGTTGTCACCATCATCACAGTTGCTATTAATAGTACTGGGAAAAGGTCAGGGTATTCTTTTTTTGTTCAGGTTCTGCTATCAACTGGTTGTATTATTTTAGGCAAACCACTTGCCCTCTGTTTCATGATTTTGTCATATACATAACAGGATTTGGAATTGACTTCTTAACCAGCATGCATGCCAGCATCTGTGTATGCTACTATGGAATACAGGTGTGTCTATGTACTGACCCACCCCTAGTCCTTGAGGCAGTTGGGCAAGAACTAGAGTAGCAGAATTTCTTGCCCTGATCTCTTCGGGTCTGAGCAGCCTAAGACTCAATGCTTCATGTAAAGAGAATTTTCAGTGTACACAATAACATGGAAAAGACTGGCAAATGCTACTCAAATGTTTCTTACAGTTCTAATGGTTCAGCTTTTCCTTTAGTAGTTGTGTGACATAGAGCAAATCACTTAGCTTTCTGAGTTTTGAGTTCCTCATTTAAGTAGGTGCCCTCGAAACTATCGGTTTGAATGAAGTATATGACTTTCTAAGTCTAAGTCTAATGTCAAATGGAGTAAAAGTGTAAAGCTCTAAGTTGTTGCTTCTTTGGACAAAATTTAACACAATGAGTGTGGCAGAATTTGCAGGATTCATTGTAGAGAAGTGGAGATGTTAACCACTAAAATTTGAAGGTAAAATACAGCACAGTCTGACTGAGAGGTTTTTTTTTTCACTCACTGGACTTTGGCGTGTGGACAGTCAGTCTTTGGAATTTGTCTATATCTATCAAAGACAGTATAAGAGGATCTAGCCAATATAAATGGAAAAAGTAAAAGAATATACCAGAAGTGCCTGGGTTTATACTTTTTAATGCTCAAAATTATGCCTTTTACACTTTTATAAATCAAACCTAATTTTTTCATTGATAAGTATACACATTTAGAATGCTTTATTTCATTTCAGATCAATCACTAATTGGTTGTTGCTCCCTATATTCTCATTCTAAAACTATTTTAAATCAATTTTCCTATAATTTGCAACCAGTGGATTAGGAAAGCTATGACATGAAATATGTGACATGAAGAATCTCTCATTCAATCATTCCACAAAAATATGTTGGAAAGCTTCTACTGTTCTATTGTTAGATATTTAGCACCTTTCTCTTGCTAGAGTTAGAATTCAATGAGAGAAAAAAATCTCTGCCCTTGTAGAGTTTATGTTTTTAAAAAATCATGAGGAAAAAGCAAATAAAAATAGATAATGTCAGGTAGTGATAAATACATGTAGCAGAGCATGAGCGAGGATGCCCCTTTTGGGTAGGATGGTCAGGGAATGCTTCTCAGAGAAGGTGATGTTTGGCAGTCTTAAATGAAGTAACCAAGCAAGCCATTTGAAAACCAATTTTACTTATTAGATCTAATTAAAGTGGGATTCACCTCTACAGTAAAGTGGCCTTTCCTTTCAGGAAGAGGCTTTGACCATTCTAAGAAATTATAAAAGGTGGTGGAAAAATCTCTCTCTCTCTCGATCTAGAAAAAGAATACCATAGAAATTATTAGTTAATGAAGTTTAGGTGTGGCCTACCCCACAGCAGGAGGTCTGAGAAGGGACTTTTATTGTTGATGTTTCTGTTTTTAGTAATCCTCTTGGATGATTCATCAATGTAATTATCAACTAGCCAATGAAAGGATACTTGTTTTCATCGAGCCAGTTAGAAATGAAATCAGGTAACTGCTCTTTACTATGCAGTGGGATTTGGACTAGCAAATGCTTTTTTAAATACCCTGTACTTAAAACTTTAGCATTTCCTGCACAAAAGAAAAAACTGATAATATATTATCATGAACATGCCTGCTTACATAAATAAAGTCACATAGCAAGAATTTTCCAAGACTGTTGAAACCACAAATTAGTCACCCATTTTCCTTTGTTTTCCAAGTGATGTTTAGTATGTGCTCCTCCTCTCTGTCTCAGCCCCTTGAGTTAGTTAGATGGGAGGTTTCTATAGCCTCAAATTGGGAATGGACTTTCATTTGTTTATTTTTAATCCTTTTATTCATTTTTTTTCAGCTCCATCAGTTGCACTCCATGGCTTCTGGGGTAAGGTTAGACTAAGGTTTAGCACAGTCACAATGAACAGTTCGGGATAGGTGAGGGACTGTGAAGACTTTACATATTGTTGCTTCCTAAGATGGTGCAGCTGGCTCTTACCTGTATAATATGGGAGAAAATGGAAAACTCCTTTCCTACAACTGTGTACAGTCCTTTAAATTTCATCTGACTATCAACATTCCCCTTAGAAGTCTTTTTCCCTTGAAATGCAAATATTTCCAGTGAGGACCAAAGCATGAAGATTAAAATCCTGGTTGAGGCTAGGAGGGAACTTTGCCATCTTTGTGGAATAGGGCTTCTCAACATACAGGTCTTAGTTCTTTTGTGACATTTGCACTGAACATGCAAAAGCAAAGGTGAATAAAACTGGTGGCATCTTAATCTGAATAAAGGCAGCCATGTGATGCTCTTCATCATTACGCAATGCACTGAGCACACACATGTTAACGTCATTTACAAATGTCCTTAAAGCAATACAATCTACTAATTGTATTGAATCTTAACTTTGAGTATGAGTCTTTTCAATGTTCTGTGTGATGAAATGGGCAGTATATGTGAAACGCATCTTGAACTATTGAAAAACTGTGGTTGTGTCAAGGAAAAATACATATGTGATTGAGTTGCAAGCTGAACAAGCACCTTTTTGCATGGGATCCCATTTTTTCTTGAAAGCACAACCAGCAGACAATCCATGGTTATTCAGATCACACTGTTTGGAGATTTTTTTAAAAAATCATAAATGAAGTAAGCCAGCTTCTTTAAGGAAAACTGACAGTATTTGTTACCAATGATACAATTTCAGCTTTCAAATGAAAATTAGAATTTTGGACAACTTGTATTTATCACTGTGAGTTTGATAGCTTCCTAATATTTAAAGACATTTCTGATGAGATTGGTGCTGATATTAACTAACCTGATGTTTTGGTATTATATAATGAAAAGTGTCAAATTGTAGAAGATCTGTATAACGCAATGATCTGACATTTTTCAAGATGACCAATGTATACCGTTATAATACCATGTGGGGTGAAAAGATCCATTCAAAGTATAATATAGAACACTGGCTTTTTTTACAAAAAGGTTGTGGATATGTCTTCACATATCCATCCATTTCACTTCTATTTGTTTAGTGTAGTGTGGTCCCAAAGGCAAAAATTCAGAATTATAACAACAGATTGAATGCAGAAGCAGAGCTGAGACTGCAACTCTCTTCTCCTAAGCATATATGAAAGACTTTTACAAAAACACAAAGCAATTTTGCTCTTCTTGTTAAAATTGTTTCATTTCAGAACATACAGTTGTTGTCATAAATACATTGTTTATGTTATATGTAACAATAAATGTTGCAATGTTATATGCAACAATAAATAAGTTTTCTCGCTTTTAATTTCTGAAAAGGTGAATGTTTATAAGCCACATAAACAAACATGGGGGATATAATTATTTTCAGGAGTGTGAAGGGATATGAGACCCAGAAAATTAGAAAGCTAATGTTCTCTAACTGACTTGCTGACTTTTTCAGTGAGTAAGTGAGGCATAAGTGACTCATCCACTGTGTTGTGTGACAATTGAGGCTGGATCACCTCTCTGCAAATCACAGTTGTGATACCTGTTTTTTTTCTGCTACTCTGCAGTGCTCAGAAAGTAGCAGATGAGGTACTCTCCAAAGAGAAAGTTGGGTTGGCTAAGATAGGGCTTTCCCATAGCCTGGAAATGAAGGCCCCGGGGAGGGGCCAAGGGGCCTTTTCCAGGCTCTGGGCACCTCCACCTGGGGAGACGTGGACTGAGGAAATAAAGGCTGCAAGTGGAAGCAGGACAGCAGGACATTACCTCCTTCTGATTCTCTGCCTCTTGCTCTTTTCCTGACTCTTGGCTTTTCCTTCAGGGAGTTTGCCCGTTGGAAAGTGAACAACTTGGCTCTAGAGAGGAAGGACTTTTTCGGTTTGCCTCTGCCTCTTGCCCCAGAGTTTGTCCGGAATATTCGCCTCCTTGGAAGGAGACCCAACCTGCAACAGGTTACTGAGAACCTGATCAAAAAGTATGGCACTCATTTCCTACTTTCTGCCACCCTTGGAGGTAAGCAACACCACAACTTACAGGAACTGGTTGTCAGATTATTGAAAATAGCTTCATGACCTATTGAATGTAGCTCCTTTTCCATCTTGACCTATGATCGCTTGAGAAATATTTTCTTTCTGGTGCAGTAGAAAACCGTGTATTCTCTCAGCATCCAAATTCACCCCACAATATTTCTGTTTTCTTGTAAGCATCCTCCAGGGGTGGGGGTGCTGGGTAAGAAGACCTGGGGGAGCCACAGGTGCCTACTAGCACATGCCAGCAGGGGGCGCTCCCAGTTCTGTTTTGGCTGAGCCAGCTAACCCTGAGGCTCCTCCACTTCCTAATACTTGCTGTGGCTACAATGTCAGGTCCATAGGCAAAGAAGTGGATACCCATTGAGTCCCTGATGCCTGCTTCCTCTCTATAAAGGCTGGTAACCAGTCACACCAGTTCCAAAATCTCTGGCCCCCTGGGGAGAATGAGGGTGGGATGAGGGTGGAGCAACATGGGGTTGGGAATTGAAAGCCTTGAAAAGGCAGAGTCCTCTCTGCCCTGGGAAGAAGAAAGCAGGGTTTATTATAACAGCTTACTGTCCATGGACAAAACACAGCCCCTCCGAATAGCTTGCCAGCATGTGGTAAGTGTTGAGTGTTTGATGGGGAGGAGGGAGGCAGAGCTTCAAGGCTTTTTGCCCTTTCCTAGGGAGCAGAAATAGCCATGGTAACTCCTCATAAACAACTTGAGAGGGAGAATTGTATCTCCCCCCTGGAGGCAGATTGCCTGAGACAGAGATCAATAGAGGATGTTAAATGGAGAAGCTGAGGGTGAGGGGTAAGCTTTGGGAGATATAATAACTAAAGAAAAGAGGGAGGGCTTCCCAGTCAGTGAGATCTGTGACCCTGTCACAGTCTAAGAAGATTGCTCTAAAGACCATAAAGGTGAGCGGGGCCCGCAGCAGGGGCTGCACTCCCTCTTAGTCCCACCTGCCCTGGCCTATGGTTTCACATTTTTATTGGTAGGGGATTTGGAAGCTGAAGGCCTCACCAATGAACCCATGTTTTTGCTATAGGAGAAGAGTCCTTGACCATTTTTGTGGACAAGCGGAAACTGAGCAGAAAGTCGGAGACAACAGGCGGTGTCCCTGTAGTCGGGGGCAGTGGGAACAGCTCTGCTGTGTCCCTGGAGACCCTGCACCAGTTGGCAGCCTCCTACTTCATCGATAGAGAGAGCACACTACGGCGGCTGCACCACATCCAGATAGCCACAGGGGCCATAAAGGTAACAGCCTGAGTGGTCATGGGAAGCCAGAGTCTTAGTCAGCTCTGGGTTAGCCAGGCTGAACTGACCAGAGTGAAAAAGAAGCATTCTGATAGAGTCTCAGCCAATCGTCAAATAGAGCTGGGTCACCCCATCCTACATAAGAAAACACTCAGGGTTCATCATCTACTGTGAGGTGGGATGTAGCCAAAGGACTGTTTTACTGTTGTAAAAGATACATACAGTTACATTCTAGTGGAAGATGAAATAATTAGTAAAACAACAAAGTAGTTTCAGGTGGTGTTATAAAGAAAAAAACAGAGTTATAAAATATACATTTCCTGGAATGAGGGGAGAGAGCAGCTAACATTAGCCAGATGGGTCAGGAAGGGCACTTTGGGATTTAAGACTTTGAGGCTGAGATCTGAAAGATAGGAGACCATCTGCATATAGAACTGAAGGAAGAGGAGATGGTAAGTGCTAAGGCCAGGGCCTTAGCCAGTGTTCTGCCTTGTTGGAGAAGAGAGAAGACTACTGTGACTTTAGAGAGGTGAAAAAGAATTCTGATGAGTGGTCACTGTGGTGAAGACAGAAGCTTGACCTATGATTTGGTGACTTGGATGTGACTGGTAACCTGCAGAGGAGTGCTTTCAGTGACAGAAAGGGTACAAATGGCTGAGTGGAGAGGATCCAAAAAAGGAAACAGAGTGAAGAATCAGATATGAACAGCAGCTATGCTTTTGCTGTAAAGGCAAATTGGAAAGTAAGTGGGCCCTAGGAAGGTTGTGTCTTATTTTTAAGGTGGAAGATATTCCAGTTTATTGGTATGTTCACTGGAATAATTCCATAGAAACGGACAAAATGATGATGCAGCAGAGATAGGAGATCCTTGAGTGACATTCTTGAGTTAGAGGGGCTGATATTCCATGTGGCAATGGAGGGATTGGTCTTATGTAGAAGCAGGGATACTCCACCCTTTGTGATGGGAGGCAATATGGCGTACACAGGACAGATGTTGTAGGATGGTTGGATGTGGTTGGGGGGCGGAGATGTAGTGTTTCTCTTTTGGTTGGTTCTATTTCCTTAGTGAAATAAGAATCAAAGTCCTTGGCTAACAGGAGGGAGAAGGAACTGTTGAGAAAAGAATGTATGACATGGTTTCCTCATAGAATAGGAATTAGTAGTGTCAACTACTGAATAAATGTAGTGGACTTGTAGGTAGCAAGCACTCAGAGGTGTGAGATTGGTGTCACCATTTTAGCAGAAGACCAGTCAGCATAGTTGTGAGTTATATCAGCTACATTCAGCAGTTCATGTACCTGCAGACAGGGAATAGATAGAAAGATTAGATATAACAAACTATGTATGTATGTATGTATGTATATATATATGATGAAAGAAAAAAAAAAGAGGCTAGGGAGTTGAGAGTATATACTAATGAGTCATTAAAGTGTTGGAGCAAGGAATCCAAGTCAGGAAAAAAGAGAAAAGGGTTAATAGGGATGATAAAAAGTGAAAAGTTGGTCGGGTCCGGTTACTGAAAGTCTTAGTAGGTTTGGTGATTTGTTAGAGGGAAGAGACTAGAGGAAATATGAGTGTGTGGTGCTTCATATTGGGATTGCAGAGGGCATGGAGTTGCTAGTAAAATCAGGTTCTATGGCATAGTCCTGGGTCTTGATTGTTAAGGCGGGACTAGAACAAAAGTGAGGAGACAAGGCAAGGTGACTAGGGACCTGAGAGGCTAGAATATTGAAGGATTATCTGTATGGATGTAGACGTCAATAGGAATGATAGGGCCTGCAGTGGTAAGAATGATGGTGAGTTTACTACTAAAACTCTTCAGTGAGGATGGGGGAGTCCCAAATAAACTGCAACAAAGAGGAATAGTGGGTGATAATACATGGTGGGTCTGACTTTGAAGGAGCCAGAGATGGTCAGTCAGGAAGGAAGAACAGTTGATTAGGAAGTCACAGTGAAGGTCTTGCCTCACTGCCATGCCCAGGAGTTTGAGTGTGGAACAGAAACAGCCACTACTAGAGAAGGCTGAAGGGGAAACCACATCCTCAGGGAAGGTAGATTGGGGTTAGAGACAAACAAGTGAATTGGACTCCTGAGAAGAGTTTGCAACTGTAGGGTTTTTTTCCTGAGGACTGATCATGAGATCAGGCAGCACAAGGAAGTTAGCAGAGATCAGCTTAGCAGTTAAAATGTCTAGGGGCATAACCTGAGAGATGAGGCTGTCTTGCCATTAACAGGTACATTTATGAGACGGGTCTCTTAGGCAGCTAAAATAATGAAAATGTACTGTTAGTATGGAGAGGGTTTCATAAGAAGATAGAACTCTGTGGAAACCCCTCTTGTCCTTCAGTCCTGCAGTGGTCTGTGTCAGCTGAAGAATTGAAAAATTCTCACCAGGAAATGAAAGGTGGACATTGGATCAGCAACTCAAAGGTCCCGTTAATGTTCCTTCCAATCCTTTGACCTGACCAACTTCACACTTTCTATTACCCCTTAATGGCCTCATTTTCCTCTTAACTTAGATTCATTGATCCATCACTACAGTCACTTCTTTTCATACATCTCCACCTTGCCCTTTGCCTTCTCTTCATGCTCATTGCTATTCCATTAATCCAAGACCTCATTAACTTGCACCTGATTTTCTTGCATTATCCTTTTAGCTAGTCTTTCCTGTCTCCATTCTCAGCATTTCTCCCTGACTCACCCTCTATGCTGCTACTGTTAGTGTAAATCATGACATCATGTCATCCCCTTCTTCAAACCCTTCCATGGCTCCAGACTGCATTATGGGACATAGGCTCCCACTCAAGAGTACTGGCACTGCCACTGTTTGTAGTGGGGTCTTGAACAAGTTACCAAACTTCTCTCTGAACTTTAGTTTCCTCATCATAAAGTTATTAAATAAGTAGGACAATTTCAACTTAGAGGAATCTCTGTGATGTTTAATAAGAAAATGTGTAAATGGTATGAACCTGAACATCATTGGAGTTTGAAAGGGGCTAATTCCTCTTTTTCTCAACAAAACTGTAAGATCATTGAAGATCATCTCTGAACAGTCCTTTCACATTTTTTGCCATCTTTGTTCTTGCCCATTGATTCTTCACCATCCAGACCATGTAACCCAGCCTTATCTAACCACTGGTCTTCATTAAAATTATCTGTGTTCTCATATCTCCTTTATCAGCACTTGCTTTTTGTTGTTCTTGCAATGCTTGTCTGTTGATCCAAGTAGCTCTTCCTCACATTTCTTTGCTCAGCTCAGAAAGGCAACTTTTTGGTGAAGCTTTTTCTTACTCCCAACATAGTTAAATGCTCCTCTTCAGTGTTTTTTTTTTTTTTTAATAGCGCTTGTTATTTGAACTTTAGTGGCTAGCTAATATGATTGTGTCTACGTGAGACTAAAATTTTTGTGGGGGAGACTGGGACTTATTCAGCTTTGATTCCCTGGAAGAGCACAGAACTTGCCACATTATGATAATGTGTGAACAGTTGTCAAATGATGAACAAATGAATGAGGGGCATTACTGGAGCTGGCATTTTCTACATGGGTTAAGGTTGTCTGCTCAGTGTGTGTGTGCAAATACCTATAAGCATGTTTGAAAAAAACCCAGAAATCTACTCAAGGTATCTTCAATACAAAGAAGGTTTATTCTTCTCTGAAGAATTATCACAGATCTCCAAGGACAGGGCACTATATCCAGTCCAGACATCTGGGACTTGTAAAGGGATGGTTACGCTCCCAGCTTACTACCTTGCATTCTTATTGGAATACACATCTCTACTTTTCACCTCCAACTGCTTCATCTTCCTGTTTCTCTTATCCAAGAGTTATTTTCTCTGTTTATCCCAGACTTTTCTATATCCTAGTAGCTTCCACTTACATGTAGCCTTGCCTGTCAGTGGAGCTGACTCTGGTCCTGACTGAATGCTATCTTTCTGTTTTGTATGTCAGTCAATACTACTAGCACAGGGACTACTCCCTTGTCCATGGTTATGTCTTCAGTTCCTGACACCTAGAAAGTGCTTGATAATTATTTATTATCTGAATTTTATAAATACCTATAATTTTATGAATACTTAATTTTTTTCCTCTCAGTATCACAATTCTCTTGAGAAAAAAAGTCTAGTTCAGAATGGACACTTAGCCTAAATTGAAGAGTGAGGCTTGTTTGTATACTCTCCACCCTGGTTACTGGACCAATCTCTTAAGTCAAGTCTGATGGTGGAGTGAATGACAGGTAGGTATTCAAAACCACAGCTGTTATAATGCTTGTGGATGCACTTCCCAGAGCTAGAGACACTGTCCCTCTCCTCATAGGAGGGGCCATTATCCTCGGAAACCTCTTTGTAAAGTCCTCCAACAACACATCATATGTGAGATGAATATTCAGCTTTCACTGGGCTGCCTGACCTGGCATTTCCTCTGTCTAGGAGTGCAATTGGTTCTCCCCATGGGATGCAACTCAGAAAACCATGACTAAACAAGGATGATTCCACATTTTCTCTCACCTCCACCCTTCCCAGTGCGTAGTGAGGGATAGAAACCTCATGTGATGTGTCCAAGACATACTAGTTGACTGAGGAGCAAATGACTGTGTCGACATCCCACCCAACCGCTCTTCTCACCTCTGTAATGGACCATGGGTAATGCTGTTCTACTGTAGAGCATTTCTTTGTTCTAAAATGCTTAGTACTTACAGTTCTGTATAGCAAAGGCACTGCAGTAGCCTGGATGCACCCTGCAGCCTATCTGTGCTAGCTAACAGTCTTCTCTCATTGCTCTGGCACCTACCATCTTCCTCCCTCTACTGAGCATGTCTTAGCAGTGGTCGAACTGGCTTCCAGCAGTCATTACTCTGGATGGAGGTGGTGGGGTTAGAAAGAGTTCTGTTCATCAGCCTTTGTAAAAGAAAAGTCCTACACCATATCTACCTTTTTCTCTAAGCAAATGTGCAGTTGCTTTTTACTCTTTTGTAGCAACTTCTTTGCACCACTATGTAAAGTGGCACCCTGCCTCCTGGGTTTATTTATGTGACACATTCCTGAGGGACCACACTGAACATCACTCTCTGTGCAAGGTTTTCCCTGATCAGCACACACTTCTATTGCAGGATTTGTCACATTACATTTCAGGTGTTTCCATGCCTATTTCCCTTCTCTCCACACCAACCATGACAGTAGAATAGTAGAAACTCTGCAGTGTGTGCATAGCTCCGGGTCCCTTTACAGCATCTGGTATGTGATAATGTGCTCAATAAAAGGCATGAGAGGTGAAGGCAGGCTACACAATTCAGTGGGAAATAAATCTATTGAAGTGAGAATACTTGGGTTTGGGCTTCAGCCTTGATGCTTGCTGTGTCTGTGACCTTGAGGAGTCATTGAACTCCATTTCTCTCCTTCACCATCTGAATTACTATTTGACTCATCTGTATATCAGACACATTCAGCTAATATGACTACACCAGTTTTTTAAAAAACTGAAACACTTCCATATACTCCAACCCTCTACACACTATCCTAACCTATCTTTATCCCTCCCCTGGAACCTCCAGACATCTTTTTGATACAAGTCAAGGAGCAAATGCAGCTTAGGAGGTCTCCAGAACCCTGCCTAGGCACTAAGGCTGCAATCTGTCCTGATTAGTCAATGCACTCTTGATCTACCTAATAATAAACATGGTGAATGTCACTCAACTCTGCCACAGAGTTGTGGTGACACCAAATGATATAGAGAATATGAAACCACTTCACAAAACATAAAGTCTGGGATACATACACATCCTGCCTATAATTTCTGGGAAGGAATCAGGGTCACCAAGGAGGGAAGGGGGCCTTTAGTTCTCATTCACCCTCTGTATAGTAGAAGGGTGTGGAAAGACTTGTTGAAGGAGGGTTTGAAATACTTATGAACTAACTGAAGAGCCCACACAAAAACAGCTGGACCTTGGGATAGCAAAAGTGAGTGATTCTCACAAAGCCTCCTTAAAAGCAGCTTATGGGAATTCCTCACCACAGCAGCCTGGGATTCACTTTGTAGCCCCTGTAAACACACACACCATCAGCTGTGCTCTCCAAGCCAAGCCACATGGTTCATAATTAGAAGCCCATTTTACTCTGCTTAACATTGCATGTGCCCTCCCTCCCGACCCACTCCACACACTCCAGGTCAGACAGGAGCAGTCTGGAAGTGAGGACAGTCTGGAAGAATGGGTTCTCTGCAATGATGGTTTGCACAATCTGGTATTTATGGAAAATTGGATGTGTTAATGAACCTGAGATCCATCAGGGTTTTCTGAAGGCAGGATGGTCTCTGTCAACAGACCAATTAGCACACAATTATTTTCCTCTTCTGAAAGCTTATCTGAGGCACTCTGAACGTGTGTGCCTGAGTGAGCTGTACTTTCCATTTCCTCTATGGACCCTCTTTATAATCTCCTGGAGCCCAGAACTGTCTGCCTCTTCTACAGAGAAAGCTGCAGGATTCTCTTGACTACCTTTCAGAGACACTGGGGCTTTTATCACTCCACACTATGAGGAGGGGCTGTCTCAGGCCATTCTGTTTATTTCAGTAAATTCCAGGCAATATCAAACTCTGCCCAGCTCCTCTCTTCTTTCTAGCTCCTTACTTTTCTAGGGGAGAGAGACATGATCTCAGAACAGAATAGCAGTGAAAACACCCATGACTTTGGGATCTAGAGAAAGCTGGACAAGCCTTCCTTGTAAAGAACTGACTTTAGCCCCTCCCCTCATTCAGGAGATCAGGAGCTTTATCTCTTTCTCATTCCCATCTTTGTGCCAAAATTAATAAGGATTAGCTCACACCCTTTTGTAACCTACCTAATCGATTGTCTTCCCATGAAATGACCTGACCTTTACAAACAGCAGAATAAAAGTCACAATATCAATGTCTACCCCAGCATGTTGAACATGTATTGTCCAATGCTAACATTCTCAGGAGAGGACAGATCACTAACATGTGATATTGTTTAGAAAATTTGCTATTTAGGGAGTGATGGTGTCTTAAGTGGCTTAAACTCACTACTTTCAGTCAGCCTTTGACTTCTCTTCTTAGGAGACCAAAAGGTATTAAAGTAGTGTCTGAAGACTCTAAAGTTACAGTCTTCTTTCTGAAGCTGGGTGTGGTGGCTCAAGCCAAGAATTTTAGCTAACTCAGGAGGCAGAGACTGAGAGAATCAGGGTTCAAGGCCAGCCTGAACAAAAACTTTAACCAATGGCTAGGTGCAGGGGCATATAACTGTCATCTCCAGTTATACATGGAAGAATAACTAGAATGTTTACAATCCAGGCTGACCCAGGCATAAAGTGAGACCCTATCTTAAAATTAAGTAAAAAACAAACAAGCAAAAAAGAACTGGGGGCTTTGAGGACATGGCTGAAGTGTTAGTGTGCCTGCCTAGCCAGTGCAAAGCCCTGAGTTCAACCCCCAGTACCACCAAAAAAAAAAAAAAATCCTCTTTCTGCCACCTACTAACTATGTAGTCTTGGGTATTACAACTCTCAGAACCATGGTTTTCTGTTTGTTTGTTTGTTTAGAAGACTGGTCCCAGAAAGTTCCTGTGAAGTTTCATCAGTACAGAAAACCATACAGAAGTCATTCCTGCCCTGTAGTGATCTTGGTTCTGTTCTTCATCTGAGTGCATCTTGGTGCCTCTCAAGCACTGTGTTTGTTGCTGCCTGCTGCCCTCTTGGTGTTTGTCACCTTTCTTTCTCTAATTTCCTCCTACATCTCTCCCATTCCTGCTCATTTTTCAAAACCAATTTATGGCTCACCTCCCCATAAAGTCTTCTAGACTACTTTATTAAGCTCCAGTCTCTTTCCCTACTGTATGTTGAGCCACTCTCACACCATCTCTCACTTAATTTGTTCCATTCACATTTTTTAACCCTAGGTAGACTATGTAACTAAGTAACTATCATGTTACTTTCACATTGGCATTTCCCCATAGTAACTAGCAGGTACTAGACATGTGTGCTATGCACTGTTGAGCCATATGCTGGAGACCTTGCTGCCTCTTCTTTCTTCTTCATAGTGTGTTCCCACTATCTTCTTACCTGCCACTTTCTACTTATCCTTAGGGACCAGCTCATATGTAGTTCCTCTGCTACTTTTCTTGTTTTCCCTTTGTTTACAGATATAATTTCCTCAGTGCTCCTTGTGACACAGTCTTGTGCCACAATTTGGATGTCTATCAGTCATTTGTGAATGTACCCACCTGCTGAAAAAAATCATTATATAACTTGTATATTTTTATACCCACCTCTCCATGCTGCAAAATCTAGAACATACTAGTTATGCATTCTCTAATTCATTAAGTTTCTATTATGCCAAACACTGTACTAGTTGTCAACATGGTGAACAAAATTAATATGAGCTTACCTCTGCGGAGACTATAGTATGTGGGACCCAGACATGAACCAAATACTCCCAGAAAAGGAAATAAAATTGCAACTCATATACCTGCTGCAAGGCAGAGGTGCCTGGAGCTACAAGAAGAGGTCAGAGGTATCAGGTAGACTTCTTGAAGAACTCCAGAAAGGCACTCTATGAATATTTGACGAATTGTATGGAATTGAACGGTGGCTGCTCAATAAATACTCGTTGATTGGTTGATTGATTGTTGGCAAAGTCTTTGGAGATCCTGAGAAGAAAGGGCCTCGGGTCCCCATCATTCTTATCACATAATTATTTCAGTGCATTTAAAGCTCCCCATTTTTCATCTTATACTTTAAGCATCAGGGAAAATGGATGGGCCAACTTTATAATATTTTTAAATGCTCTGTGGTGTTTTGGAATATTACATGGCTATAAGAGTTTATGTATATTTAATATACTTATTAAAATATGCAATAAGCCCATGGCTGATTTTCTCTAAGGACATCTCAGTGCTGAGGTGGGACTTAAATGTTTAATACTAATAATAATACTCATAAGTCATATTTCTCTAGTGCTTTTCATCTTCAGAATCCCCAAAGCCTGTGAGTACCACATCAAGTGATGCAGCTGGGCTCACAAGCAGGCTAACAAGGACCACATCTGCCCCCCACCTTCCTCCAGGAGAGGAAAAAGGACAACTTCAACTTAAAGTCTCACCTTTCTCCAGCTAGACACAAATTCTCTTTGGATTTCTATGAAAGTGTCCCACTTATGTACAACTGTGCCACTAGTCGCCCATCACAGCTACTGTCTAGGGACAAGGGTAGGGAAAGACACATGCTATTCCATTGGCCAGTCAAGGACATGACATGGAGTCTCCAATTGGATGACTGAAAAGAAAGGGCAAAGAGAACATTTCCTCTTGTTTTCTAAATCTGTTTCCTGCTTCTTCCTTCTCTAGGTCACAGAGACCAGGACTGGTCCTCTGGGCTGCAGCAACTATGACAATCTGGACTCAGTCAGTTCTGTCCTGGTGCAGAGTCCAGAGAACAAGGTGCAGTTACTGGGTAAGCAGTACATGATGGTTTTCACACTGCTGGAAAACCTAGGTTACCAAAGAGCAAGAAAAGGCTCTACCTTCACATTTAATTAAGCCCTTCTTAAAATAAGAACTACCCAAGTTCTGGACCTATATATAACAACTTTCCATCATTCTTTTGAGAAAACATCTGATAGTTTGTCCTAGAGCTAAGACCCATTGCTTCTTTCACTCAACATATTCTTTTCTCAAGACCGCTGTCATTATCCTATAAGGAGCAGCACATTAATCTAGTTCAGTGATTGCTTTTGTTACTCCAAAACCCCTCTGTTTTACCCTGAAGACATGTTGAGGAATAACTGGTCTTTGCAGAGTGGTTCGGGTCACCAGCTGTGGCTCAATGAGATCTACAAACTTTGGGACAACTATTTACTATAAGCACACCCTGAGAGTGGACCTTGCTTTCTGCTGTTTGTTAGTGGTCTTTCCTGGGAGACTCAAAGCCAGAAGAAGAGCTTGAGAGGAACAGGATCCATTTGACTACAGACAGAAGAAGCAAACTATGGAAAGAGAAAGGAAAGGGAATTGTATGAGGTCTGAAGGCTGGGAGATAATAGGGCACATCTCCTGCTATCTCTTTCACAGCTGGGGGAAGGGTTATTTGGTAGGAAAAGTTCATTTTTCTTAAAGCTTAACTGAACTGGACTCTGTTTAAGATATTATTGTCCCAGCATTACAAAATCAATAGCTCTCACCCAGGATCTACGGTTACAAATTCCAGGCAATCTGAGCCAGATGCAATCCAGCAATGCTTTAGGAATCAAGAAATATATAATAAAGAAGAGTAAAAGACTTTTATTTAGAGCTACCTAATACAATTAGCATCTCTCTTCCCTTATGTTCCTGGATAGGCTGAGTTTCTGGAAATTAGCAATGAGTGAAGTTAAAAATGTCTGGAGGTTCATTTGGAATAGTTTATGCCATTTAATTTTATAGCCCATCACTCACGCAGACATTGCTTGGGGCACTTATTTTATAGCATTGGGAAATGTTCTGGTGAGGATGGGGTATGGAAGGAAAGCACTTGGAAAGGGTGAGTGTTGAAAGTAAACCTGTGGATAGGGTATGTGAGGAGTACTGCTCAAGTGCCATGATGGGTATAAAGCCAAGAAAAAAATTTTTAAGCAGTTTAGAATAGGAGGTGGACTACAAGAACAAAAAACATCTGCTGCTGCTCACAATTTTAAGTTATGGTATGAGGTGTGCCGAGACTGGGATACACACTTTGGGCTCCATGATTTCCTGCTGAAGAGAAGGTCAAGGGTGTGGAAATAAAGAGCTAGCATACTTTTGAGGAAAGGGGAGCTTATCATATTCAGAGTTCCTTCTATTCTTCACTATTCTGGCACAAAGTCTCACAATTTCCATATTGGGGAACTTCCTGCAGGTCTGACCTTGAAAACAGTCCATACTGCATCCAAAGTCATGTCTATTCTTCATTTGTCTTTTGGTAAACTTCCAACAGCCACCTTTGAGTGGCTCGAAGCCAACTAGGAGTATGTACTGCTGCTGGTAAACTGATAACCATTATAGACGGATGAGAAAACTGAAACTTGGAATAATTTAAGGCATTCTATCCATGATCCTAGGAAGCCAACTAGGAAAGAGCATGGAGAGCCATTCATATCTACTCAGGCCTCATTGATCTCAGGGCATTGACCACCATCCTACTTCAAGTATCTTTAAGAGTGCAATCATATTGAGATGGGGCAGCCATTCTCAGTGATACAACATAACCTTGCGGGTTAAGGACAAGGTCTGCACCAAGAAATTCTACTAGTGCTGTGATTTGGGCAAGTCATTGTGGTCTTTAGGTTTGTATTTCCTCACATTTAAGAACCTCAGTATGACCACAAGGGTTACTTAGAATTATATATATGTATATATATACATGTATATATATGTACTTTATACATATATAAAGTACTTGGCATACTGCCACAATTCCTATCCCTACCTTCTAACTAGTACAACCTCATCTGTCATCAGGGCTTGGATGGGAGACTCAGACAGTCAGCATTCAGTAATGTCCTAGCATGCCTACTGCTAATCTCAGTTAAGCTAGAAACAGGGGATGACTATTGGAGGCAGAGCAAGCCCACCAAGCCTTGCTTCCTCTCCCATGAGGGCTGTAAGCCCTTCTTTTATCTGAAACATCTTGTTTTTCTCCTAGAAATGCTGATGTGTACCCAATACGCCTGTTCTTATGATATGCGTACTCTCTCAATTTGGCTGATGTGAGGGGTTCAGCTAAGCCTTGGGCTTTGATCTTTCTCGTCTGCAATTTCAGATCCTCCCCCATCTGTCATGCAGAGCCCCCCTCTCCCAACCAGCTCAGCAGGATCAGGCCCTAGGGTGACCATTCTTGAGCCCAGGACACACAAGTCAGCAAAATCCCAGCTGGGGTTTCTGCAGCCTTGGGTATGGGAAAGTGAGTCCCCCTGGTTCTACCCAGCAATTTCTTGATACATCCTTTCCCCAGGCCTGCAGGTGCTGCTGCCTGAGTACCTGCGTGAGCGTTTTGTGGCTGCAGCACTCAGTTACATCACATGTAGCTCTGAGGGTGAGCTGGTTTGCAAGGAGAATGACTGCTGGTGCAAGTGCAGCTCCACTTTCCCAGAATGCAATTGTCCTGATGCTGACATCCAGGCTATGGAAGACAGCTTGCTTCAGATCCAGGATTCCTGGGCCACTCACAACCGGCAGTTTGAGGAGTCAGGTGAGCAACCAACTGGCCCAGAATTCCTTCCTGCCAAAGAGAAGTAGCTATGAGGTGCAAAACAAGAACATAGGGAATTCAGCTTGAATCCAAACTCAGCCACTTATTATCTATATGACCTTAAGCAGATTATATCACTCACCCAGAGTATCAAGTGATTTGTTTTTCCTTTATGTAAATTGGCATAATATGAATCTCAGAAGTCTATTAAGGACTTAATAAGCAAAGATAAATACCATTGAGAGCATAGATCTTGTATGTTTTGCTCAATACCGATTCTGCAGTGCCTAGAACAATGCTTGCATATAAGGTGCACAATAAGTATTTATTGAATAAATGAAGTGTGTAGAATGGTTCTAAGTGCCCCCCAGTGGAAGCTAGTTATTGTGAGCTGCTGTTATAATTAATGTCAATGTTACCTTGGGACCTAGATTCTAAGGAATTGGTTTTGCATCCTGACCCTATTCCTTGGGTAAAGTCATGCAGTGCCTCAATGCCTTGGTGTTGGTGTCCTCATCTGTGAAAGAGAAAAAGTGATAATAATTGGTTGAATGGAAATAGTTAAGAAGAATACTACATTCCAAGTCTCCAACCCATGTTTTGGGCTAATGGTGATGGGATATGTTCTAGAACATGATTTCAGTCTTTTACCACTGAGTTACTGCTAATGAGCAAATAAGAGCTATGTGGACCTCCACCTGGAGACTTGGTGTTGTAGGGACCAAGTAAAAAGCAGAGAAGAGGACTGAGACCTGAGTTGGAGTTCAGAAAAATATAATGTGCTCAGGAAACTCTGAGAACTCAGACTTGGAGCTTGGAACCAGAAAGAACATTGCTTCTAGATAGCACAGGAAAGAATGGATATCTGATCAAGAGCTAGTGAGAAGAACATCTTAGAAAACCAGAGAGAGAGGGAGGCTGCTCTCAGAGTCTGAAATATTTTTAAAGAGATGTCTAAGCTGGTTTCCCACATATGCCTGTCTCTGCACATTCTCATCTCTTTCATCAGGGTGTCCTGGTATTATTGAAAAAGATTGGCCTCAGAAAGTGTTGTGGGTGACTTATAAGAAGGTGTAAAGGGGAAAAGAGGTACATCCCAAGGCTGTTAGCAAGAGCAGGACCTCTAACCCTTCATGTGGTGACAGAGATTTGTTTTAAAACTCAGAGTCATCCTGAAGAAAGGATGGAAAAAATCCTGAAGCCACATTTTATAGTGTATTAACTGTTTCTCAATAAAGCTATTCACAAAAAAAGACAGTAGATATAAAGCCTCCTTCCTTGTGCAGCGACTTTGAAGGGCCCCTGCTCTAGGGGACACCAACCTGCCTCCCAGAGCTCTGTAGCCTGCCCCTCTGCTCAGTTTCTGTATTCTTGCCCACAGAAGAATTCCAGGCCCTGCTGAAAAGGCTGCCTGACGACCGGTTCCTGAACTCCACAGCCGTCTCCCAGTTCTGGGCCACGGACACTAGTCTTCAGCACCGCTACCAGCAGCTGGGAGCCAGCTTGAAAGTACTATTCAAGAAGACTCACCGGATTGTCCGCCGGCTCTTCAACCTCTGCAAACGCTGCCATCGGCAGCCTCACTTCCGTCTGCCCAAGGAAAGGTGAGCACCCCGGCTCTAGAGCCAGAGCCCAGAACCTCCCTGGTTCTGAGCAATAGCTGCTGCTGGTGGTGGTGGTGGTGGGGGTCCTCTGTCTAACACAGAAGATCAGGGAGTATCAACAGCCACAGACATTTTTTTTGAGTCCCATGATCTTGACCTGCTCACATATGTCATTTTCAATTACGAGTTTTGTCTGAAGTAAGAAAGAAAAAATAAAGAGCCTAATATTACTTGTATATAAATTATGGTGGAGCCATATACTATTCTAATAATACTCTAATGCTCACTTATTCCTTTCCATTTTAATAAGTCTTCTAGGAAAGAAAGGGGTGGCATTAAAGCTCGTATACCAATTGCATATGATAAGAAATACACACAATGAATTATTTCAAAAAAGTGACTCAGCTCCGAGTCATCATAGGATGTAAGAAAGCAGAAACGCATGCCTTCTACATTAGAGTGGGGCTGTATTGTCATAGGCTTCTACTCATTCATTCAATAAGTTTTTACTAAGTCCATATTCCATGCCTTACTATTTAACTATAATGTATAATATTGACTAGGAAAGATTTAAGAAACATCCAAAAACATAAAATCTAGAAAATTATAACTATATGGCAGTCACTTAAACTGATGACAACAGAACGTAAATCAAAGAGATAGTCTCCAAGAAGAAAAACCCAGAGATGAAAGCCTCCTCGGAGGAAGAAGTTTTGATCAGTTCATAAAAAGTGATGGAAATGGGCTGGTACACACAGGCAAGATAGTATTCCAGGCAAGTGGAGCTACCTTCACAGCAACCAGAGGTGTGACTCTAACTGAGGTACAGGTAAGCATGAGTGGGGAAGACTGGACAATAAGAGTTTTTGAGGGGCTCATTTTTTTCCAGCAACTAATTACTAAGTGTCTACTGCACAGCAGAAACAATATTGATCCCTGAGAATATGTTAGCCAATAATGCAGTGTCCTTGCTCTCATGAAATTTCCAGGGAAGCAGTCCATAAATAAGTAAGTGATAAACAAACACAATAATTTTAGATAGTGATAATTGTCATGGATTAAAGAAAAACAAGATGATGTGGTAAGGAGGGGAGTGGTTCTTTTTAAATAAACATCAGGAAAGACTTCTTCCAGGAGGCTGCATAAAAGCTGAAATCAAAATTTTAGGAGAGTATGCTATGGAAAATTCCAAGTTTTGGTAGACGAATGATAGCAGCAGAAAGAGTAAAAAGATAAGAGAACTTGAAATGCTAATGAACTTAGCAAATATTTGGAATGTTTGAACAGCCATCTTATAAAGAATGCTGAAAACCTAGATTTAGTACCAGATAATATTAGAGATGTTGTAGAGCCTTCTTTTTTTTTGTGGTACTATAATTTGAACTCAGGGCCCTGTGCTTGCTAGGCACTTGAGCCATACCTCAGCCTTTTTTTGCCTCCGTTATTTTTTTAATGTAGGGTCTTACATTTTTGCCCAGGGCTGGCCTCAGACCGTGATCCTCCTGTCTGTGGCCTCCTACATAACTGGAATCACAGGTGTGTACCACCACTCCCAGTTTATAGATTGAGAAGGAGTCTTGCTAACTTTTGCCTGGGCTGGCCTCAAACCATGATCCTCCTAATCTTTGCCTCCCAAATAGCTGGGAGTGTGGGTGTAAACCACCATGCCTGGCCTAAATCTTCTATTTTTTTAAAAAAGGGAATGCAATAGTATTTGGAGAAAAGAGTCTAGCTGTTTCTAGTACAAGTCTGCTGTCAGATATTTCTGGCCTGATCCACCAGACAAAGAACTCCAGGCTTTACCCAATCAGTCCAAAATGGAACAGTAGGATTTCTATCATTTAAAGAATATGAGGCTTTGATCTTCATCAATGCCTTTGCTGCCTATTAGTCATTGTCCTGCTACTCTTAGGAGGATGGTGGTGTGTAGCTTTCTTTGACTTCTGCTCCATTTTCATGTATCCTCCCCTAGATCCTTGTCCTATTGGTGGAACCGAATTCAGTCCCTCCTCTACTGTGGAGAGAGCACCTTCCCTGGCACTTTCCTGGAACAGAGCCACAGCTGCACCTGCCCATATGACCAATCCTCCTGCCAGGGCCCCATTCCATGTGCCTTGGGTGAAGGGCCTGCCTGTGCCCACTGCGCTTCAGACAATAGCACACGCTGTGGGAGCTGCAACCCCGGCTATGTGCTGGCCCAGGGGCTATGCCGGCCAGAGGTGGCTGAGTCTCTGGAGAACTTTCTTGGGCTGGAAACAGACCTGCAGGACCTGGAGTTGAAGTACCTGCTGCAGAAGCGAGATAGTCGCATTGAGGTGCACTCCATCTTTATCAGCAATGACATGCGTCTGGGGAGTTGGTTTGACCCTTCCTGGAGGAAGCGCATGCTGCTCACCCTGAAAAGCAACAAGTATAAGCCTGGGCTAGTGCACGTGATGCTGGCCTTATCCTTGCAGATCTGCCTCACTAAAAACAGCACCCTGGAGCCTGTCATGGCCATCTATGTGAACCCCTTTGGGGGCAGCCACTCTGAGAGCTGGTTCATGCCTGTGAACGAGGGGAACTTCCCGGACTGGGAAAGGACTAACGTGGATGCAGCTGCCCAGTGCCAAAACTGGACTCTAACCTTGGGGAACAGGTGGAAGACATTCTTTGAGACTGTCCATGTTTACCTACGGAGCCGAATCAAGTCCCTGGATGATAGCTCCAATGAGACAATCTACTACGAGCCACTGGAGATGACTGACCCCTCCAAGAATTTGGGCTATATGAAAATCAATACCTTACAAGTCTTTGGCTATAGCCTGCCCTTTGACCCTGATGCAATCCGGGACTTAATTCTCCAGTTGGACTATCCATATACTCAAGGTTCCCAGGACTCTGCTCTCTTGCAGCTCATTGAGCTTAGGGACCGGGTAAACCAGCTCTCTCCACCTGGTAAAGTCCGCCTTGATCTTTTCTCCTGTTTGCTTCGGCATCGACTCAAGCTGGCCAATAATGAGGTGGGCAGGATCCAATCCTCCCTGAGGGCCTTCAATTCCAAGCTGCCAAATCCTGTGGAATATGAGACAGGCAAACTCTGTAGCTAACAGGGGACCTGCTCCAGTACTAGGCAGGGAGGGGATCTACATATCCAGGGTGCAAAGATTATCTAAGCCCTTACCTTAGTGCCAAAAGGGTCCTCCCATGAGACTTTCAGCACCCAGGAGATGGGACCTGAATGCCCTTGGACTGAAGCAGGCAAGAGAGAAAGAAACAGCCACTGTGCACGTGCACATATGCATACACTTACACATACACTTGCACTCACAGGGAGGTGACAATTTGGCAGCCTTGGATCTGTAAAGTTGGTGCTTTCTAAATTGAATGCAGCTGAAGAAAGGAAGCCAGGAAAAGCTAAAGGCAAAGAACCAGCCAAATCATGAAACAAACAAAAATCGTTCAAAGTGATTCTTGTCATCCAAGAAAGAAAGAGGGGACAATGGGAGGGTGGGAGTTCTTCCCTCTTTGTGGAGTCACTTTTGTATTCTTTTTAATTAGATTTCTTAAAATGTTGTTTTGTGACTCCTGACCTTGGTTCTTACGTTTTGTATGCTGCCTCCTCTGTGATCTGGAGGCCTTTCTGTAACTGCTCCCAGAGCTGCTCCCTTAGGAAGTGCAAGACATGGAACAGAGGAACCAACGCTAAGGGCAAACAGCAGCCTCCTTGCTCTGCTTGAACTTCTCCCTCCCACCAGTCCCTGCTTCCTCAGCCTCCCCAGTTTGAGGGTCTTGGCTTATTCCAAGTACCTCTCATGGTCCATCCAGAGCTCCTCTTCCCACAAAACCTGTTCTAAGAAAGCAGCACCATCCAGCTAGAGAGAGACAATGTATAGGGAAATGTTTCTTTTTTTAAAAAAAAAAAACTAAAATATTTATTTTGTGATTGTTTTCCTTGTCAATCTGCTCCAGCCATATGAACATCTGAGTAAAACATTTACCTGATTTAATATATTTTTAAAAGGCCCTTTTTAGGGGAAAAATGAGAGAGAAAAGTGAAAGAAAGAGTATAGTTCCTTTAGTTGCCCAGATTATTTTTAAATTGTCATGTGTGTGACAAAGGTGTATCCATAGGTGAGGGATATGGTTGTGTTGACTTGGGTGTAAAGTATGTGTGCGTGTGTGTGTGTGTGTGTGTGTGTGTGTGAGAGAGAGAGAGAGAGAGAGAGAGAGAGAGAGAAACCAAACAAACAGACTGATAGACACAGATTAAATGCAGTGGGGCTGAACTCTCCCAGAGTGTTATCTCACTAGGCCTGTCCCTCCTTACTCCTCCAAACGTGAGGACTAACACAGGTCCTATAAGCAGGACTTCTCACTATTGGGGTAGTAGTTTGAAAGTTCCTACTCACAATGAAATTTCAGCCCTTGTGCTGGCAAATGCCTGCTAAGTGGGCTCTTCTTTGTCAGTACTGCTGTGGATATCAGGAGAATTTCATACTCTATGTCTTATCATCTGAGATCACCCTTTGAGGAAATTGACAAAGATGCAAATGTGGCATTGGTTTCCACCACTTTTCTACCCTAAAAAGGAGTTTTGACACAGGTTACACAGAACAATGCATTCTTCCCCTCTTAGTACCTCCTCTTAGTGTTATGAGAATCACTTGCTAACACAGCATTTAGAATCTATGTTCCACATGTCCCCATACAGTACATAGGCATAACAACCCTAGTTTTGTTCAGGAGAAAGTCACCACATAAATACTTATTATCTCATTCCATAACTGTGGTTCATCTCAATTGGTAGAAAATAAAATGAGAGCCAATGAGAAGATAGTTATGACTGTCTGCCCAAGAGTCTTCAATGTATACTGTTGCATATAGAAGAATTTAATATTTCATTTAATTATTATACCATTTTTTGACCTACAATAACATAAAATCCTTGGTAGATAAAAAGCCTGGGGAATTTCTTCATAACTCCTCTAGAGGTTTCTAGGGTGGAAATCCAGAGTGATGGGATGGTTGAGGGGGGGAAATAGCTATTGCTGACTATTTCTAGTTCAAGTCCCTGTCTGCTTTGTGGGGTTTATTCCAAGCTTCTCACCTGGGGGAGATGGAACCACGAGATGACATCTTCATCAGTGGGAACATTGAGATGTACCACAGGGAGTGTTGGGTAGGAAGGGGGTTGTTAAGGGTAGAAAGGCTTTGATATTTTCTGATGATAGGTTTTGAGAGGTATAAGGCAGACACTAGAGTCTGGTTTTCGCACGCGTGTCTATGTGCTGAAAGAGTGGGTGGACAGAAATATTCCCTCCTGAATTACAGGCACACTTCTTATGTGACAAATTGTCAACTGTCACGCACAGCAGTATTCAGAGTGGGGAGACAGCAATTGAGAATGTATTGTGCACAAAGCTAGCAGTGTGGAGTTTCAGTGATGTGAATGTGACTGACCCAGTGGGAACTGAGTCAGTACATGGTGTGCTCATGCCTCACCTGGGACAGTTCCACAGTTGTGCTGAGAGAAGAAAACCTCAGCCATCTGGCTCTGAACCAGAAACTAGACTGAGATGGGGGAAATACACCTATAGAGTTATGAGTAAGCACACTACTTTTTATTTCTGAGATGAGAGATATCTTGGGAGGGTTCTGGGAAGATGATGGTAAAATATGTTATGGTTCAAAGAATATATGCATCCAGCTACAGAGATTTCTGTTTCTTGCCTACTTGAAGGTTTAAACTATGAAGGTGGGTGTATCAATTCTATTTGAAAGTACTACTTCACATTAGTAAATGTTTAGGAGTGTCCTTTTGATCTCAAGTGCAAGTAACATTGATAGAAAGCCTAAGTGAGCATTATTAATTATAGGACTAGAAATGTTTATATTTTGCTAACTCATCACTGATGGATGTCTGACTCATCTGTTTTGGAACAGTGATCAGATGCCTGGGGTAGAAAAGACTGGGTCAAAGCAGCAGACCAAAGACTTTGCTTCTAGAAGACAGATGAAATAAATGGGGGAGTAATGAATGGCCAGGGTCGCTTAAGAGGTTTTTTGAAGGCTTGAGATCATTAGTTCAGCATAGAGTTTCTCAGAAAACTATCCTGAGAAATTCTATGATAAGAGAAGTCTTCCCACAATTGAAATTTTCACCTGTAAAGTGTGTAATAATCAAAAGACATAAGGCACTTATTCTCAGACACAGTTTCAAATAAAAAATTGTCATTAATTAGTACTGGATTGTCAGTGTTGAAGAACTCACTGTGGAATTAAAAGCTAAATCACAATTCAGTTACTACCATGCACTAGATAAAACGACCAAGTATTTGAGCCTTAATTGTAACCCCAAAGAACTAACATATCAAGTGCTAATCTGCCCTAAGCTTGAGACTAATACCTCTAATACTGAATAATATATTTAATACCTGCTACTAATAATATAAGGCTATGTTGTGCAAGCATATTCATACATCATAAGGCAAAAAACATAAATGAAAACCACTTTCGATATTGAATATCACAAATAATTCAGATCCATTTCGTGGCTTCTTTTCAAAAACATGAAAATAGTTGTCATGAGAGGGAAAGCTGCCTTGAGAGTTGATAGTATATTGTGCCTACACGATGTCCTGCCCCAAATCATCCAGTCCATGATTTCACCAAGTAGGTCTGTTCTGCATTTTGGAGGCATTTTTTTTTTTGCCATTATATTCTGTGTGAAAACTTAAACACCCTTTGAAAGAAATAAGTCTTGCAAATTAACCCATAGGCAAAATAAAGAATATTTTTTGGAGCTGGAAAGTTTTTAGAGGTCGTCAAGTCTAATTTCTGACATGAAGAAAAAGATCTAAAAGTTTGAGAGATTGTAGAGCTTGACGGAAGTTGTATTATCAGCAGAGTTAGGGACAGCAGTCTCATCTGGTTCTTCTCTACCTCTCTTTGGAAATAAATGACATCAGAGTCCTGGGGGTTCAGAGAGCGACCCTGTTTTGGGTCTCTTGGAGGGGTGGGAATAGAGAAGGGGAAACATTTTCCAGGAAGGAAAAAAAGGCTACTAAGAGATGAGAGCATCTTAACATCTTTCCCTGTGATTGGTTCTAACAAAAATAATCAGCTACTATAACAGGTGAAAGAAAAAAAGGGACGTGCCCCTTCTGAGATGCTTTAAGCACAGAGTAGACATGTCTCCATCTAGACTACAGACAGTGCCATCAACTTGATGGTCTCCTGATGGCCCTATCATCTCACTGTTTTTTAATTACAATACCCTGCCTCTAATTTCTTGGTAGCTTCAATAAAACATCAGTTTGAGAATTTCTGTAAAACACCTTCCTTGTGAAAGCTAGAGGTATCTGGGTACCACCAGCATTGAATGGCCTTTGGCCTATGTGGTCACTTAGGCCTAGATCTGGGGCAATGGCCAAGGAGAGTAATGAAGTGAGACTGATATATCTTAAGAGTCCTTCCTCCTTCCCCACAGTAGAGTACAGAAAATGAGGACCAAAGGAGTGTCCTTACCCAAGACACAAAACTGGCCTGTGCTACTGGCATAGCTTCCTTCTCTTTCACACAGGAATTAGGAAAGTTAAGGAGGAAGGATATGTTGGAAATTTTAGCTAATTTCATGATACTAAACACACACCTGTCTTCTGGCTTCTCCTTCTGGTTCTGTTACCAGCCAGCTCGGTGATTGTATGTAAGTCATTCTACTTCTCTTGGCCTCAATTTGCTCCCCTATGGAAGAGAGAATTGGATTCCTACCTAAGTACTTAGGGTCCCTCTACTGTTATCCTTCCATGTTAAAAGCAGTGTGGCATAAGACACTGTGTAGGTTATATGATCAGACAGATCTGGATTTGCATGGTGGATCCATACTTACCATTTAAGTGACCTTAATTCTTTATAATATATAACCCAATCACTTCATCTTTACCTTCATAAAAAATTTCTTTCCTCTCCCTTTGTGAGCATTCACCTCCCTGCATACTTTTGCTCTATATTCTCTTTCAGAATACATGTGTCCCTAAAATACAATCTCATTTCCTCCTCCCTCCCTTTCTTCCTTCCTTACAGCATGTATGAAGTGCTAAGCACTAGACTAAGTGCAGAATATTCGAAACTCTATGAAATATGTTTCTGAGGTGCTATACAAGGTGATGTGTATAGGGGTGAGGTGGGAAGATTAAACAAATAGGAATGGTACATTTTCTAGTGGAGGTGTAGAGTATTGAGGGAGCACAGAAAGAATACAAAACACTCCCAGGAAGAAATTCTAATGATATTTGTTGTGAACCTTTAATAATTATAATAGCAATGCCTTAGGTCTCCAGATATTTATATCTGAGTGTGGGGGAGAGTTCATGGCATAAAAACATTGGATCCCATCTCAGAGAGCAGAAAAGAGCAACAACAGCAGTGTCCCACTGAAAGCACACACTATGTCTGGTCAGTGCCCTCCTTTCTGACTCCTGAGTACCATATCAGCACCTTGTTATTTGCCAAGGAACACCAAAGAGACTTACACAGAAGGTCTATTTAGTAGATGAGATGTCTCTACACATCAAGGGTGCAGTGAGTGACTTTAACTCACCTGCAGATTCCTATTCATGAAGCCAGGGGGTAGGAATTCCTGCATTCCTAACAAGCTCCCAGGCAATGTTGCTGATCCAGGAACCACACTTTGAGGAGAAAGCTCTTATGAAGCATGTCTCTTATCTTCCTACAATACTCAGGACTCTAAAACCAGAGCCAACAAATCAAAAGGTCAACGACATCTGGCTTTAAGGTAGGGATCTTGCTGATGAAAATCTTGGTGCTCTACTGACCTTTAATTTCTCTACCATTTAGAAACAAGATGTCTGACCTATATATACACCAATGATGTGAAGAAAAAAAGGACAAGAGAAAAGAAAGGAAATTGAACTAAATAAAAATTCTAAGGTCTCCAAGCTGGCTTGCTTATGAATGTGCATTTATAGATAAGCAGTCCCATGGACTGGCTG